TTTTCCAAAACACGCTCAATAATATCGAAGCGGGAGTCACCGTTAACGGAAAATTAATTAATAATTTAAGATATGCAGACGACACTGTGATCATAGCAACGAGTATAGAGGATCTACAACATCTTATCGAAAGCTAAATAGTGCTGAGATGGGAATTACTATAAACGCTAAAAAACGAAGTACATGCTGATTACAAAAAGGCCACAAAATATACATCACCTATTGACAATAAATGGTAACGTGATAGAACAAGTAGAAAAATATCAGTATTTGGGAACTTTGATAAATGAAACCAATGATCATACTGTAGAAATAAACAGACGAATAGAGATTGCCAGATCAGCATTTATACGAATGAAGCCACTCCTAACGTGCAAAAATCTAAATTTGGAGATCAGACTACGTACCATTCACTGTTATATATTTTCAATATTATTATATGGAGCTGAGACTTGGACATTAAAAAAATGTAATTTAAAAAAAATCGAGGCCTTCGAACTCTGGTTATACCGCAGGTTATTGAAAATATCATGGACTGATAGAATTACAAATAAAGAAGTACTGGAGAGGGTTGGTAAAGAAACAGAACTAATCACCACTATACAAACCAGAAAACTGAAATACCTAGGCCACGTGATGAGGGGACCAAAATATGAAATTTTGAGACTGATAATACAGGGAACGATCCAAGGAAGAAGATCTGTTGGCCGAAGGCAGAACTCATGGTTAAAGAATTTACGTGATTGGTACCAATGCAGATCGATTGATTTGTTTAGAGCAGCAAGTTCTAAAATAAAAATAGCCATTATGATTGCCAACCTCCGTAGGGAGACGGCACTCTAAGAAGAAGGGCAGGATTTGGAAAACTGAGTTGGATTTTGAAAAGCTCTAAAATAGAACAGTATTTGAAAACCAGAATTTACGATCAGTGTATCCTCCCTATACTCACGTATGGTTCACAGACGTGAACACTCACCAAGTCCAATATGGATAAAATAGTAAAAGCACAAAGAGCGATGGAAAGTTCAATGCTCGAGGTGAGACTTATAGACAAAAAAACAAACAAATGGATTATAAGCAAAACCAAAGTAAAAGACGCAGGAGAACATGCTGCCAAATTAAAATGCGAGCTTCGCAGGACACAATGCCCGACAGAAGGATAAGAGATGGAACCACGACATACAACGGTGGAGGCATGGTTAGGAAAGAGAAGCAGAGGACGACCACAAATGAGCTGGGCTGATGACATTAAGAAGATCGGAGGACTCAACTGAAAGCAAGTGGCGCAAAATAGAAGACACTGGATTGATTTGGAGGAGGCCTATGCTCAAAGTTGGTTTACTTAAGGCTGAAGAAGAGCTCAATAAAACTAATACAAGATGACTTGTGGATGTGTAATAACCAGAAAACACAATTTTACAAACTCAATTTTCATTAATAACCATCTATATAACTTTGATAAACTCAGCATTATCGTTAACACCACAATTAAGCGCCAACTGATTAATTTGCACGTTTCATAAAATATTAGACGACGTTTCAGGTTACAAAATGTGTATACGGTAAACTCCCTTTATAACGAACACGGTTATTATGAGGTTTCGCTTATAACGAGGTACATTAGATGTCCCGTGAAATTTATTTTGAACTATAACCCTCTATAGTGAGGCAAATTTGGTTATAACGGGAGAAAATAAGATCGAAAAACGTATTTTTTACGTTTTTGGCCCGGCCGTGGCTATAAATAAATATCCTTTTTAACTGCCGCCCGCAATAAACTTTTTTAGAAATTGACAATTTATGATTCAAGAGTGTCAGTGTAGGGGGTTGACCATTCGCACCTAATAATAAGAAGGTCCTAATAGACAAGATGTGGAAAGTGCTTTAAACGTTGTAAGAAACTTTATCCGAAGACAAAACGCAAATAAAGAAGCATACAACTGTTTTACATCTTTAGAAAATATGATAGATAGAATATTGGACAATTTAAAGTAGTCAAAATTGACAGACTTCTTCCAATTGCAGAAGCAATAGATTTACAGAATACAGATTTTTGTTTTAACGTATATCATTGACAATAAAAGTAAACAACTTTTTTGCAAAAACGCCATTCAAACAATATAGTAGAGAGACTCTACTGTATATTATAATAGAGTAGTATATATATATATATATATATATATATATATATATATATATATATATATATATATATATATATATATATATGTAGATTACCTTAAATAGTGCTGTTTGGATTTAATTTTATTTCACTGTATTATACATGAAAAGTCTCGGTATGTTTTATATATGATACATTAAATGGTGTAGGGTTAAAGAAGTTTCTTTCGTTCTAAGAGCACTTTCGTTCTTCAGATACAGGTATGGACTGATGCTGTTTTGTAAACACAAAACGAAACTTTTTCTTTTCTCCTCTTATCTGACTAATATCTTTAAGAGTTTTTTTTTTTGCTTAGACTATCGTCATACAGCCTGACACAAAAGGACTAAGACAGTCCTCATTATAATTATTTACCCAAATGCCCTATCAAAATAAAAGATTACATCGATATTAGGAGAACAGGGACACACTGTTCTCGCCTAGGGACCTATCAAGGCATTGATTTATATAAGACACAACAACACTAGGTCACGGAGAGGAGGAAGTTATACAAATGGTTTAAAACAAAGATAACAAGATTAACTAAATAATTTTTTAAAGAATTATAATGATAATTTGCTGTCTTTTAAAAATTTAATTAAAGATTTGTAAATATCTACAGAGCTAAGTGATAATAAATGTAGTATATTCCAAGGAGCTGCTATTTTATATTTTAATAAATCATTTATAAGTTTGGATGAGTAGACTCTGCTTTTAGAACAACCAAAAAATATATGATCTAAATCACTTTCCTCTCCACAATGCTCATATTTGTCATCATCCAAAACCTTTATTTTAAATAAGTGTTTTGGATAACATGCGTGTCCGAAACGTATTCTAATAATGGAAGTTATATGCCTCCTGGAAGCTCTAAAAGACTTGTACCAAGGAAATTTGGGAATATCCGGCTGAATTATCGAGTATCTATTTTGGTTCACAAAAGAGTATTCCTTCCACTGGTAGCTCCACCCTCGAAGCAATGTTGACTTGCAAGAAATAATACTGTCAGAAAGCGTTACTTTATATAGAATACCAGTATCGGTTAAAATGCTTTCTTTGGCTAATAAGTCGACATATTCATTATGTTCAAATCCTGCATGTGCTTTAATCCAGAGACAATGTACATTGATTCCTTTGGTTAAAAGAGTTTGAATAATATGTTTAATTCTATAAATGTATGGGCAGTCTTCTAAGTTTGGTGGTCCATATTTACTAATGGATTTTAACACTGCCAAGGAGTCCGACAAAATTATAATATGGGCAAAATCAACTTCAGATACATATAATAAAGCTTCATATATTGCAATGGCCTCTGCTGTATAAATCGAAGTTTCCGGGTTTAGTTTGAATTTCTTTTCTATATGTTCCGATGGTATAAAAAAAGCGCATCCGGTTCCATCTGGAGATTTAGACGCATCTGTATATAGAGCTATTGTCTCTTTGTATTTGCTTGTTATAGATAGGACAATATTTTTATTTAAATACACATTTTCACTATAATTTGGTACAATAATATCTGGATGTAAAAGAAAAGAAGAGTAATTTTTGAATATGTAGTTCGTTCTATCTATATTTTTTAAAAGTGCTATATTTTGATCATACGCTTCGCAAAGTAAAGGAGATTTCTTTTTTGGTCAAGTCATGGCAATTCAAAGTGACTATCTTTTCGTATAGAGATGAGTTCAGTAAGTATACTTTCATTAAATATTTTTTGGACGAAAGCTTCGTCTTATATTTAAAGGAGGTTCCAAGGCTTCCAAATATAAAGCTTGTACTGGAGTGGATCTCATGGCTCCTAAACATATTCGTAAGGCTGAGTTCTGTAAAACGTTGATTTTGTTTAGTAGTACATTACTTGCTGATCCATATAAAACACTTCCGTAATCCAAAATAGATCGTATGTAAGCTTTGTAAAATAATAAACTTACTTTAACATCCGATCCCCACCAAGTTTTATTAATTGATTTAAGAAAGTTTAATCCCTTATTGCATCTGTTCAACATGTCATCAATATGTAACTTCCAGGTCAATTTCTGGTCGAGTATCATTCCCAGATATTTAATTGTGTTTTTAAGGGAAAATTGGTGCCCACCTAAATTGATTGTACTGACATTAGGAAAGTTATGTCTGATAAATAAACAAACTTGTAATTTACTGCAGGATAATTCGAAACCATTTTCTATAAACCATTTGTGATGGAATCCGTTCACTTCATTCAGGTTCAATGGATTGCTGATATTTTTTGTGCTCTGTATACAAACAGAAATCTTCAGCATATTGTATAATATTAAATGCAATATTAGTAATAGTGATGTGTAGATCTGCTGTGTAAATGTTAAACAAAATAGGACTCAAAACGGAGCCCTGAGGTAATCCTTTGTAATTAAGTCTAGGTCCTATAAGAGTATGATTGTCTTTTAAATAAATTATCCTATTTGTGTACAGGTTCACAACGTTAGAAGCAAACTGTGCTAGAATATGAAAAAAATTAATAATTTTTTCTTGGAGAATTGTAGGAGATACCGAGTCGTAAGCACCTTCGATGTCTAAAAATAAAAGTAGGTACATAACTGTTCCTGGAAAAACTATTCTCAATGTCTACAACAAGAGTTGTAAAGGAATCTAAAGAGTTTGTAATCTTTAAGAGTTGCAGGATGAAGGGATTTCACCCCATTCCATTGTTCTTCACTGCCTCTTATACATATAAATATATCTCAGAAAGCTCGGATCTTCTTTGGAATTGAACTATAGATCGCATTTGCTATTGATCCTTCTTGTTAATTACTTGTACCAATAAGAAAAACAGCGAAATATAGAATTTATTAATAATAAACTAATAGATTGTTAAAACTGTATTTACAATTGTAAAAAATGTATAAAAATATATGGCATATAGACATCTTAGTAGCATTAAATAAGTGTTAAATTTTTTAATTTCATTGATATTTATATTGTTACTCATGATAATACATTGTTTTATTCTTTGATATCAAAGTAATAAGACTGTATTTATTTTTTGTATGTAAACTTGACAGTTAGTATGTACTCCAGATTCACACTCAACCATATAATAAATATATACCTAAGTAACAAAAATCTAGAGTTCGATGATCCAATTACAAGATGGTTCAATTTTACTAACATCAAATTAAGCAAGAAGAGAAAACGTACTAAATTATGCATGTATATAAGCAATGCAGTATAGTACTAATAGTAGTTTTATGAAAAGTTGAGCAGATACTTATAAGTCTCATGTAAGCCTAGGATAAGAGAATCAATATCCTCATTAGTATTGTATTTGATAAAAGTGATAAAAAATTCCAATAAAATTGGAAAGTAAATTGTTTAAGACTGCCTTAATACCAACGAAACTATATGACACTGAATGTTGAAGAGTTAAAAACAAAGATCAATAAAACATGTTTTAAAAGTAAAAATACTTGTATCTATGGGCGGAGAGACAAAAAATAGTAACATTAAATTTTTGTAGAGTAGGAAAATGGAATAGGGTAGATTAAAATGATTAGGATACATTATAACGGTGAGTTTTGAGAGAGAGTACAAGAATAAAGCTAAAAAAGACATTAAGATAAAATATGTTCCTTAAAGGGATTAATATACCTTTCTCTGAAATAGATGTAGTGAGAAAACCAGAAGACCAAAAATACCTGGAAAGAGGCCTCTGAAGGTTGAATGATCAAAAATAGAAACGTGGAGAAAATTAATAAGAGTAGCTGCCTCGTGACAAATCGATAGTCAAATTGAAGATAAAAAATATATTAAAAAACACAAAAATTATTTTTCATTTAAGAAATGTTCTAGTACTAATTTAACCGACTGGTGGGATTCTGGTATACATATTATTTGTCTCTAAAATCATGTTGGTTTATCTTCAAGCCACGGCCTGAAAATTGGAAGAGTAGATGGGTAGTGGGTTCCTGATTTGTATCCTCCTTCCTCACCATCTGAGCGAAGTGGATAGGTAGCCATCATTATTGGTAACTGCAGTTTGACTTCTTTTTGTAGACTTTTCGGTACCACAATAAACTGAAAGTTAAATATTTATTAAATAACGAAATATCAAATAGTTCTAACAACAATAGTAATAGAAATAAGAAATTTCGTCTAGAAACGACGCTACGTAACTATAAATGGTTTGGAAAACGAGATTACAATTCATTTTATTTAACGTGTCTAAAGCATAATAATAGAAAACATTAATTAAGGTAAACATTCGACATTCTATTTTCGACACTGCCCCAATTATCGGCAGTAATTCTACATAATCGACAAAAATAAGAATTCTTGCGCGTGATTGTGGGACGAAAGTAATTCACTAATTTATAAGGACCTTTATCTACGCCTATGAACAATATACCAATTGTCAGACGAAAACTGCAATCACAACATTTAAAAATATATTGGTAAGTTGGAGCCAAACTCTTGTGGGAAGTGTTTCTTCTCGTATATGTTAAGAAACAGGTATGCTACAGAATGCTATTGTACCGTTTTTAAATAAAACGAGCGGTTTCAACTAAACTAACTCCAAATATCGTTACATATATATATATATACCAAAGTTACTATGTTATAGAAAGTTCCCACCTCTAATTGGCGTACGTGACCGATTGTTCTCTTACCTTCGAGAGATCTGGTGATGATTCTGGAAGCCGTTTCGAGATGCAACCGTTATATGAGCCATGCTGAAAGCATGTTCGTAACACTGCTCCCCTCTTAGATCTGAGCGTCCCGATCAGCAACTCTATATGTAGGCCCAGGATGGCGGAATCTACAGGACTCTCCAGCTCTGCATGAACCCCTCAGAAAGAAATAACAGTCTACTGTCTTTGAAGGACACGATCTCTTCGGATTAGTGCAACACACAGTAATTCGTACGCCGGTTTCTCGGAAAATCACTTTAAGCATGCTTCTAACAATCTTCCAGTCCAGATTATCTAGTGCATGGCCTATCTTGGGTAAGGCCAAATTCTTGATATCGTAATTGCACACAGTTTTCTTCAAATTAGTTAGAGCACGCCATATATCCTCGTAGCTTGCCCTGTCTGTATACGATTTTCTGGTCACCATATTCAACAAAGATCGAGAACCATCTTCTAATCTGGCCCTCTGGATTACGGAATTGTAGGAGCTATTTTAGAGCAGCGTGATCCGTGCGGAGAAGAAATTTTCTGCCATACAAGTATTTATGGAAATGCTCGCAAGCCTTTACTACGCCAAGCAATTCTCTCCTGGTAACGCAATTGTTTCTTTCTGGTTTCGACAAGACTTTGCTAAAGTAAGCGATGACTTTCTCCTGCCCATCTTGGATTTGGGAGAGAACAGCTCCTATTGCACTGTAAGGTCTGGTAACATTTTTCTTGACCCTTAGGAATCGATCTTAGGATATCCGCAGCATCACCTCGTAAAGCAGCAGTTAAGGAAACAGCTTTTTCTTGTTCTGTCCAATGATTGGCTGTCGCAATAGCTTCAAATTGTCTAAGGTATATGGACCAAGAAGACTTTCCATCAAATGGTGGTAATTTGAATCTCATATGGTGTATCGTTTCGTCTCTCTGTGATTCTTCTTTTACTACCGGATCTAAGGCTACTTTATTAACTGTTGGTAGGACCTTTGTGTTAGTTGTCATGGTCTCTAATTGTTTGATCTTCTCTTCTACGTCTTCTATCTTGTCGTTTACATTTTTCTGTAACTTATCGAATGTTCTTGAGACTTCATCAAATTTCTCATTGTTTTGAATACATATTTCTTTAATTATTTGTGAAGTGTCATCGAATTTTCTAGATACATTTTCGAATGTTTCATCGAATCTTTTGGAAACATTCTCTAATTTATCATCATTTTTTCTACAAGATTCTTCAATTTTTTTAGAAGTTTCTTCAATAATCATTTGCGACACATTTTCAAATTTACTATCATTTTTTTTGAACTCTCTCCGATCATTTGTGAGACATTTTCAAATTTTCCATAAATTATTTTCGTTAAAACTGCTTCTTCTGCTGATTGAAGCTGGAATGTCTCTGGGTCGTCTCCATTCTTGTTGAGAACAGTCTTCAGTCGTTCTTGGAGGATCTTCTTGGACCCGCTGCAGTCTTAATCGCGTTCTTCTAGTTGCTCACGCAACTGTTTCACTGAAAGTTCTACTAGCAGCATCTTTGGTCAGGCACACACGTACTTTTAAAATGTTCTTTCGTACTAAGTTCACTACTGAACTACGCGGGTGTTCCCGTTTTCAAAAGTTCGAAAGTCTTTTTAAAAAAAAATCAATGTTGAATTCATATAAATTCGAACCGCTCGTTTTATTTAAAAACGGTACAGTTGGTGTCAGGTGTGGGGTACGAACCTACGCTCCCTCTCGGGAACCAGAGAGTCAGTTAGCAAATATTGGCGAGTCAAGATATACATCTGCGCTCAGGCCCTCTCTTGCCCTCAATCTTGCCTTGTAGAATCAACTGTAGAAGTATGTATTTACTATTACTCATAATGTGGCCGAAGTAAGTCAATTTTCTGTTCTTTACGGTGTTAATAATTTTGACTGTGTCTTGTCTTAGCCTCTGAAGAATAATTATGTTAGATGTGTGGTGTATATAGGAGTAACATACATCGTTAGCGCCACATTTCAAATGCCTCTAACCGTTTTATGGCATCTTTTGTAAGACTCCAGCTTGTACTCCATAGAGGAGGACACTAAAGACGTAACATCTAAGAATTCTTAGGTGTATGATATGTACTTAAAGATAAGATAGATAGATAGATAGATAGAACGTTTATTGACCACTTTACATAAAGTTTGAAGTCCGTATAAAAAATACAATAAAAGATATAATAATGTAAACTTAAAATTAACTTGACCATATTGGCTAAAGTAATATACATATGTAAGTATTAGCAGAAGAATTAAAATTAAAAATTTAAGATAAAAAAAATCTCTATCCAAAAAAAAACAAACCTAAACTCTCACATAAAAAATCTTTGAAATATGGAAGTAACAAAAATGTACAAATAATTAAGAATATTCCCGAATTGATGACTAAATAAACTAATACATAAAACTTAGTACATTTTAATAGCAATAATACAATGTGATATGTAGGTAGTAAATCGACAGTATTCTGACCAAACTGGGTACACGTTACAAAGGTGTATTGAGGTGTTCTGTCTTTGAGTAAAAACAATATGTTAAAAAATGCTTTCTGATCCTATTTTTAAACAGTGGTGGAGACAGAATTTTTATTTCGTTAGGCAGATAGTTATACAAGTGAATATCAATTGAATTCTTTGTGCTCTTTGATAGTCTGAATCGTTGTGACCTAATTAAATCACTCGATCTTGTTAGATGATCATGTAATTGGGAGTTTATAGTAAACTTATTTTTATTATCGTGAATTTCCAACAGTGTTGCATACATATAAAGCGAAGGTAGAGGCATAATACCCATGTTCAAAAATAATGGTTTACAATGATCCCTTAAATCCGCTCCAGCAAGTATCCTCACCACCTTCTTTTGTAATTTAAATATTCTGTCGGCATGAGCAGAGTTGTCCCAAACAGCTACTCCATATTGTATATGACTATGAAACAATGAAAAGTAACACATTTTAAGGGTATTTTTAGGTACCAAATAGACCAGGTTACGCATTACAAATATTGTACTGGCGAGTTTAGAACTTAAGTTGTCTATATGGATGCCCCAATCTAAGTTGTCATCCATAAAAATCCCTAACAATTTGATGCTATATCCAAAAATGTGTCTTCGATCTGAACTGAAAACTATATTTTGATTTTTATCCTCGTTTAGTTTTAGTTTATTATGTGCAAACCAGTTTTTAATTTTAAGCACATCGTTTCATACTTCATACAATGAAGTATTTTGTACTTTTCTATGTACTCTATTAAACGGTTATTCAAAATACTTTCAAAAATTTTACCAAGAATGGGAATAATAGAAATAGGGCGATAATTTTCAATTTCTTCTGAAGATCCTTTTTGAGTAGCGGTAACACTTTTGTTACTTTTAATACATCGGGAAAGATTCCTTCGATAAGGCAAAGATTATAAAGTATGACCAGTTTATCAATAATAATATCCAGAGTTTCTATCACTAATTGTTTGTTTAAGAAGTAAAAATCAGTGCATTTTGAGTTTTTCAAGCTGTATAATGTATTCCTAACTTCAGTATCACTAACAGGTGTTAAAAACATTCATGGCATCATTTTCATCTGTCTCATCTAACGAGTTCAATATATTTCCCGCTACCGAAGTAAAGTAATTATTAAACTCGTTTGATGAAATATTACATGAAGTTACTTTTTTATTTTGAGTTTTATTCCTATGATAATTGATGACTTTCCAAGAATCTCGAGATATATTATCAGATTTTAAGAAAAACTGCCCATATGACAGTTTTTTCTTTATTGATATTGTTAATTGATAGTGTTTTTTGAATTGATTATACAGAGTGTAATCACTAGTAAGGTTAGCAGTAATTTTTATCTTCGAAAGGTTTACTCGCATTTTCCTTAGTTCATCGTCAAACCAAGAAACAGGTGCCTCAAAATGAATTCTTGACTTTTTTACTGGAAAGCAAACTTCAGTTAATTTTACATATGTGTCAATTATGAACTCAGCTAATTCCGTTGCTGTTATTGAATTGTTTATTAACGACCAATCCACAGATTTTAGTGATTGTTTTAACATTTGGGTGCCTTTACATGTTATGTGTTTTCTGAATATCCTATCATTGTCAATTTGATCAGATTTTATTTTTAAATTCAGCAATTGAGCACAATGATCAGCAAGGCATGGGTCTACAACACCACACCCAACTATTTCATTATCTATATTTGTTAAAATATTATCTAAACAACTTGCTGATGTAGCAGTGATTCTTGTAAATTCATCAATCTTCATAGTTAAACCAAAAGAAGAAATTAGATCGGAAAAATATTTTAATTCGTTTGAAGTGCCTTTGAAATCAATATTGAAATCCCCAATTATAATTGTTTGAACATAATTATTAGAACAGAAAATTAATAATTTTTCAAATAGGCCTAAGAAAATTTGGAAATCTGCGTTACCTGTTCTATACACTGATACTAGAATAGTTTTTATATCTATAATTTCCAAAGCACAAAATTCACCTTCATATTCACAAGATATATCATTCAGAGAAACTGGACGTGAAGATATTTTGCCATCGCAGAAAATAGCAACACCCCCATGTTCTCTACTTTTTCTACAGTAACAAGTTGATAAAAAGTATCTGTCAATTATCACTGTTGTTAATTCAGATTCTCTAAGCCAATGTTCAGAAAAGCACAAAATATTGTGAGTTTTATCTTTTAAATAAATGTTAAGTTGATCAATTTTATTTAATAAACTTTGTGTATTTATATGAAAAATGCTTACCAAACTGGTTTGGTTAGGATTTACTACCAACTTTTGTTTATCAGAACTTATCATATCACTTTCACAAAAACAGGTGTTTCCTATATTCTTTTGCACTACCGCTGATTCTATTCGTACACTTTCATCTACATCTCTTGCGGCTTTCTGGGTGTTACGTGAAAAAAACGTTGTACGTGAGCTCCACATGGCCATATTTTAGGAGACATAGCTTCTTTAAAATTGTAACTAAAAATTGTAACTTTAAATGAACTGTAAATATCAGGATGCTTTGATTTTAGGGATTCTACCTCTACTTCGGGAAATGTAGTCTTCATAAGTTCTCTCATATTTTCCGCAGTCATATCGGGATCGACCCTGTATACATGTAGGTCTATCAAGTTATGTACTCCCTTGATTTCTTTTCCATTTAATGTCATTTCAGTGTTTTTTCCCACAACTAAATGCTTTCTTTTTTTTCTTCTATCTACTTCTGTCCATTCATATTTTTCCTGGTTACTTTCACCTACGTATATGTACTCATTTAACTTTTGTTCTGTAGTTACTTGTAATATCGCTTCTGAAACATCTTTCTTTGTAACTTCACATTTCTGGGAAGAACTGGCAACAGTGCGATCTTTGTTCGCGTTGATGGGTTGACGAACTGATTTTGTTTCAACTGAATCCATAAGTGTGTCTTTGTTTATTACCTTATTTTGATGTATAAGTTGTTCTTGATTTTCGACAACATTTTTTTGCGAATTTAATTGTTTTAGTAAATCAATATGTTGACTCATAAGGTCAATTTTTCCGTATAGCTCTTTAATTAGGGTATCTTTTTGTCTAATTATATATTTGAATATGTTAATATCAATTACCTTATCATCTGTTATTAAGTTATCCATTGCTTCCAAAAATATTTGATCTTCAGGTTTCACTGGTAAACAACATTCAATCAACTCGTCATTTATAAACTTAACATTGTTATTCTTTCGAGCACCACTCACATGGATGCTAGCGTCACAATTTATGCACTTTACTCCATTTACTACAGTTTTTTTACACTTTTTACAATATTTATTTTGGAGAGACATTTCACACGTCTTTACACCTGCTTGCCGTGTTGCCTATGTTACAGTTACAGGTAATCTTCTTAAGGCCTTTAAAAAAGCTTCTGGCGTTTTCAATATGAGTTTTTATTTCGTAGATGATCCCAGGTATTCTTAATATTTAAACATTGAAGCCATGGTAGCATATTTTCTCTACTTTTTCTAAACGTGTATCGTTTATTGTAATTTGGGCGTTTATGTTGGTTTTCTTACCAATAATCATTATTTTTGTTTTCAAACAATTTAGTTTTAGGCCATATTAATATGTAATACGGTATCGTCTGCATATCTAATATTGTTTATGAGTTAGTCATTCACTGTAATACTATCTTCTGATTCGTCCAAAGCTTCTCTATATATTTCTTCAGATTATGTTAAAAAGTGTTTGTGATAGTAGTAGTAACTTGTAATACTGTTACTGTTAAACTTCTTTCCGACCCTGAAGACCTCGGAAAATTTATTTTCGGATCGCCTGTTGCTTTTTGTTGGAGATTTAGGTGTGAGTAATTAGTCTTACAGCCATTACCGTACTACTCACGTATATACCGACTACGATCGAGTCCTGATGTTTTTACGTTCACATGGGGTATTACTATAAGGGGTAGACAATTGGGGGTGGAGATAGGGCAAGCAAAATAAACGATACTTGTGCGAACGGCACTCAGAGTTTGTTTCTAATTTCTAATTTTAAAAATTGCACTAAAATTTCTGATGTTACCTTCTCTGCCATGCAAAAACTACATCTCCAATCTATGGAAAAATGATTTCGATTAGGACATTGAGGATTGAAATGGGCGGTATTAGACACAACTTTAGACTGAAGTTCTTAAAAAAACAGGAAACTGGAACATCAAAATTGCTGCAAGCGACACACATCTCTTAGGTACTTTTTTAACCTCCACTGTAACTACACATAGGTTCTTCTTCTTCTCGTGCCACTCCTAGCGGAGATTGGAAATCATCATGGCCACTGCGACTTTGTTAGCAGCGCTCCTAAAAAGTTCAATCGAACTACACCCGAACCATTCAAGTAGATTACGAAGCCACAATATTTTTCTTCTTCCCACACTTCTTTTGCCCATAATTTTGCCCTGCATGATGTTTCTTAAAAGTTTGTACTTTTCACCTCTCACAATGTGCCCCAAGTATTCCATCTTTCTAGTTTTTATCTCATTTAGAATTTCGCATCTTTTGTCTAAAGTTTGGAGTACTTGCGTGTTAGTGACGCGGTCCATCCATGATATGATGAGAATGCGTCTATAGCACCACATCTACCACCACAATCACCCTACATACAATTAACTGCTACTACATACAAGATTTCCATAAAAACAGACGAAGCACAAGAAACATTTCAAATTTGATGAATAATTTGGACAAACGCTAGAAGCAGATGTCGACGCTGACATCGTTTCCTCGAGAGTGAGCAATTATCTTTCAAATTCATTCACATAAGTTGGAATAAACAAAACACTTAACGGGGATATTTATTTAAAACGCAGTATCGGGCGGCTTAACGATCAAAGAAAAACATCGAAGAATTTGCGCCTGTGACATAAATAAAAAATAAAATGGTTTATTATCGACTCGATGGCGACGTAAATAGAACGAAATACTATTTGGGTTTTAACTTGAAAGATAGGAACTGAGAAACATGGAAAAAATTCTTCGTTATTATGATATTTCAACGCTTCATTCAATTATAACCGCCGATTTACTTATAATCAAGGCTTGGTCAGACTCCAACTTACTTAGATTTAACGTGGATAACACTGTAGCATTATATTATAAAGGAGTCATGCAACCCTTGCTTTTGAATCCAAATCAATATCGTAAATTCCGTGAAATTTCTAGGTATTCTCATTGACAGTGATCTCAAATGGTCCTTGCATACTGACTCCTTAAGGAAGAAACTAGCCTCAGCTTGCTTTGCAATAAGATCTGTTTCGAAGGAACTAAATTTATCTTCTGCCAAAATGGCATATTTCTCATTGTTCGAGTCCCATCTTGGATATGGGCTTTCATTTTGGGGTTCTAGTACAGCGGCCCAATTTGATACTATTTTTAAGTTGCAAAAAAGAGCAATCCGTTATCTATTTGGTCTCAAACAAACAACTCATTGCAAGACCTACTTCAAAAATCACGGAATTTTGACGCTTCCCTCTTTATTTATTTTGGAAACGGTTTGTTTGATTCGAAAGCATCTAAACATTTTTTCCGATAGACCTGACCATGGCTACTCCATTAGAAATTCGGATTGTAACGTTTATTTGCCGATCCCGTCCACTCAGCTAATAAAGAATTCTATTCTATATCGTGCAAAGAAACTTCATAATCACCTTACAAGAGAAATTAAATCCGCAAAATCCTTCATTAAGTTTCGTAAGGTGACAAAAATCTATCTCTCAGAAAGACCATATTATTCAGTTGACGAGTTTCTTAATGTATAACAAAGAAACAAAATTAGTATTGTTTATAATTACATTTGGGTGTCTCAAGCAGTGGCTACAATTTGTCTCATTTGTTGTTGTCTGTACAAATTATGTAGGTTATACAATAATTTTACTAATTTAACATTGTGTTATTCTGTTTTTTACTATATTTTGTTTTTGTTTTATACTTTTTGTACTATTTGACTGATTTATTTTTTAGCTTTGTCCATAAAATTGTTCAATAATTTTCAGTGACAATAAAGCATATTTCTATTCTATTCTATTCTATTATAATTCATATATGAGGGGATTTCAATTTAATACATATACAAGGGGATTCCAATATATACCAAGGAATTTATATATCAAAGAATTTATAAATGCAACACGACTAACTAAAATAAAAACAGAAATTGGCCATAGGAGAATAAATTATACTACCGTATTTGGCTGTTAACGTGTTAAGAATAAATAAGAAAAAATACTTACGTAAACATCGTAGTTGATTTTGATCAAATGGCACCCTCGAAGATTAGTTGGGGGTAGTGGTGGAATATACAAGTGTTCATTTATCCACTCATCTTTTTCTGCAGGGCGTATTTTGCCCCTGGACAATGAAGCTAATTCTCTCTTTTCCGACTGGACTACTTTCCCTCTCCCCATGTATGTTATAGTTTCTGTAAGACATGCCCTCGTACTTTTGATAGTTATTCTACTTCTATTATAAACACTTGCGGTTATTCCTAAAATAAGAAAAAGAAAATACCAACCCAATTTTAGAATAGATAGTTTTACTATACACTGTGTCCGTAAAGTATGGAACAAATTCTTTTTTAGCTAAACAGAGCATTTTAATAAATAATCCTGAAACACGATTTTTGATTTTAATTTACCGTATTTTAAAATAATATTCTAATATACAGGGTGAATTACTTTCGAGTAATGACGTCACCGTAATTTTTTTTAAGGGAACACTCCCATTTTGTGTCAATTTTTGGATTACTCTAGCTGAGCTGATTCCAAAAATGTATCACATGTTGATTCAAATTGGTAGAGCGTGGACAAAATACAATAGTTTTGTGTGTGTTCATAAAGTAACGCGTTAGTTAAATTAACAATATTATCAAAAATACTTATTGTCTAGGGGACAGAATATGATGAAATACATGACTTTATAAATGTTCGAACTGCAGCCCTTGCTGTATTTGACAGTAACCCAAACGTTGTACAAATTCTTGTTGAACCTTGTTTATTGTGTCTTGAGAAATATTGTTTATTGCTGTCCGAATTCTCTGTTGTAATTCTTGAATATTTGCTGGTTTTGTTTGATACACAACATTCTTCAGATGCCCCCACATAAAATAATCCAAAGGATTGAAATCTGTTGACTTCGCTGGCCATTCAATAGGTGCACGTCTACCAATCCACCCGTTCGCAAAAATTTCATGTAGGTACCTTCTAACATCTACAGCATAATGTGGAGGTGCACCATGCTGTTGCAACCATAAACTTTCATCAAAACCTCCAGAATCACGTCTGCTGGGAAACAAATTACGTAAAGTAGGTCCAAAATTTCCCCTTAAAAACTCAAGGTACGTTGCCCGGTTTAAATTACCTTCTATAAAGTAGGGTCCTTGGGCTTCAGAAATGGACTGGGAACTCGGGACGCCCTCTTTGCACTAAATGTATTACTGCAGAAATGTCGAGATCAAAGGAAAGACGTCTTTGCTGTATTTATTGACTATGAAAAGGCCTTTGATCGAGTACAGCATCACAAATTAATTACAATATTAAAAGATAAAGGAGTTGATAGTCAAGACATACGATTCATAGAAAAGTTATACTGGCGTCAAACAGTGACAGCTTGCATAAACGGAAAATTAACAGAAATATGTAAAATACAAAGAGGTGTCAGACAGGGTTGTATACTATCCCCACTGTTATTTAATTTATATTCAGATAGAATATTTAAAGAAGCGCTGCATAATTTGGAATGGGGCGTGAAAGTTAATGGAATTCTAGTAAAGTAAATACAATTAGATATGCAGACGATACAGTTATTTTAAGTGATGACATGAATGGACTACAATGCCTTTTAAATGCCATTGATACAGTGGGAAGAGAGTTTGGCCTAAACATAAACTGTTCAAAAAGCTGTTTAGCTGTTTAGCACATTAAGATGCACGATTATATGTTGATGGTCATATAATTCAAAGAGTGTCCAGTTTTAAATATCTTGGTTGCCATATTACTGAACAACTAAAGTCAGATCAAGAGATAAAATGTAAAATCGAGATAGCCCGCACGACATTTTTAAAAATGAGGTCATTCTTCTGTAATGATAACTTGCAACTTCAACTTCGAAAGCGCATGGTTAAATGCTACATTTGGTCAGTCCTCTTATACGGTGTCGAAGCATGGATATTAAAAATATCTACCATTAATCGTCTGGAGGCCTTTGAAATGTGGCTGCACAGACATATATACTAAAAATTCCATAGACGTCTATGCTGACAAATGTGGCAGTCCTTGAGAGAGCAAATGCTGCTCGCGAGCTGCTTGATAACATCAAATGTATGATGAGTAAAATCATGATGGGTAAAATCGAAGGACGCAGGGGAATTGGTAGAAAGCAGGCCTCTTGGTTGAAGAATATCAGGGAGTGGACAGGAATAAAGAAAGCTGAGCAACTATTTAGAATAGCTCGAGACAGAGACAGTTTCGCCATGTTAATCGCCAACGTGAAGGGGACTTAATAGGGCACGTTAAGAAGAAGAAAGTAGGGTCCGATGATTCGATTTCTTACAATTGCAGCCCATACATTTACCTTTTGCGAGTATTGTGTATGATGCTCACGCATCCAGTGGGGATTTTCTGGATGCGTGAAATGGGACAGGCTTTGTGCGAGAAGCTATAATATTTTTCTCCCAATCAGCGGGCGTTTCCATTCTTTTTTTAAAGTTAATAAGGCCCATAATTTTATCGCACTTAAGGTACGAATGGCCTCTAACGGGATATGTTATTGTAATGGATTGAAGACGATTTACTACTGATATCATGTAATGAATAAACCTTACCACTGTATAGTTTTTGTTTTGTCCACCTGCTCCGCCACAGAAAATGTGTAGATGTTGAACAATTGGAGACAAATGATGCACAATAAAAACGAAAAGAAACGAACACACTTCATCTGATCCCTTTTTAGCAATAAGCTCTGGATGTGTATAAAAATAAGAATCAGCGTTTGATAACACATGGATGTTAAAAGAGTAAATCGAGAGCTGTCGTAATATACATCATTGGTGGAGATATTCGGTAAGGAAACATTTTTTTGGAAGTCTATAGCTATAGCTTCATATTTTTTTTCTATTCGTGCCCTTCTTTTGCTTTTCTCTTTCCTGTCATAAAATGCTTGAGCCTTACGAAGATGCAGCTCTCTAAGTGCTTTTAATTTGGTTATTTCAGAACGTCCACTTTTCTGGTCTGTTTCAGCTGCTTTCATTTTTGCAGTAATTTCGTCACATTGACTGCGAGTATCCCATCGCGGTAACCGAAACTAATGTTATATTTTTGTCTAAAAACTTCTCTGTAACTTTGATAAGAAATTTTAACTCCCGGATATTTTTCTTTAAACAGAGAAAACATTTTCATTATATAAACAGTTTCAGGCAAGTAGCTTTTACCTTTATTATCATGTAAGCCATAGTGACTACTTTTTGATTTACATGACTGGATATGCTCGTGAACACTATTAACACTACTCGGCTTCAGTTTGTTATAATCTATTCCGCCCCTTTTATCTTTAGGAGCCGTGCCAGACTGTTTTAACTCTTTCTGTATATGTTGAAGTTTTGCCCCTTTAATACCAAGAACTGCACGAAAAAACTTGGCACAAGCTTGTACTTCTTCGTAATGTTTTTTCTTATCCTCAATATTAGCAGTTGACCTTGGCTAAACTCTGACCCTGTACATATAGGTTGCGTCATGATATATTGCCTCATGTACATTTTTGGCCCTAGACTGCCGCCTCTGTACGTTTACTAATGATATAAGAGAACACAAATACGCATTTTGTTCATTATGAGATATCAATGAATTAAAATGATTTAAAATTCTTTGTCTATTCATTTCATCTACGTTGTACAACACTTCAAGCGTTTGCATTTGCAGAATTCACCAAACTTATGTGACTGAAGCTTTATTTTTTTCATGACTTCGTATAACCTGCTCATTTTCACTCTTTTTAGTGGATATCTATCTGCCATAATTTTTTTAAATAAATTAACTAACCAACCAGAATTGCGCAAGCATGTGGTTATAACGATGTATTTACGACACTGATACGACCGTTTGAAAGACAAGGTCGCTGCTGAGTGGACATTCAGTGTTTCAGCCGTTTACTCGCGGTCATGCACGGTTTTCTACCGGTTTTCTACAGTGTACTTAAAACTGTAATAACTCGTGACACGCACTATTTTTTCCTTATTTGAAATGTCCAAACATAGATATTAACAAAACTGACTAAACTTACTAAAAACCCTTCATATAGGTTTTAAACATAAAATATCTTCAGATCTCAAATCTGATATATCGCACTTCTCAAGATGTTGAATTTCTCAATGAAAGCGTTAATATGGTATTATTAAAATAACAAAAATTACTCATTTTCAATGTCTTATGCCTTTTTCAGCGTCAAGTTGGATCTTAATATTATGAACCACGTTTTAAACACTATATCTCTTTAAACATGGGATTTATTGCTTGCCTAGCTCAACTTCTTCTTCTGTTCTTTTGGTACCAAGCCTTCCGCCAAAATACAAGCTACATGGATAACAAACGGTTCCCCTCAGATATTTAGGCGTTAATTTTTTGCGTTTAAACGTGTACAGGTTAGCTGTGGGTAGCTTATCACCTAGGAGCAGGTATCATTTTGCAATGAGATTGGGAAACCACAGAAAACGAATCTCCCGTTGTCCGCTGTAGGAATGTACGAGAGTGCTCACTTTTCATGTATTTATTAGTTGTGTTTGTGTGTTTTGGTTTATTTACTTATAATTTATGTAGTATGTTTGGTAATGTTATTTTGGTGTGTTTATATTGTGTTAGTATAGAATTGTTGGAAAGTAAGCGTTCTCAGGTTGTTTGGTAAGGTATGTACAGTCTATCCGCCGGATCTTTGCACAAGTATGACATTATTCACGAATTATTTTTTATATTACGTCTCTTTCCTATTCACAGAAACTAAAACGATTAACTTAAACCACTTGTCCATACACAACACCATGCATTGAACAAAGACAGCCATAGAATGATGATCGCAGATTGATTTATCTACTGACAATTGATATGACAACTGTAAATTTTGTTTCAGCAGAGTTTGTAGTGTATCTACAAATTATTTTCGTTTGATTTAAATATTCAATATCTTTGGACTTATTATTCCATTCGTATTTGGTATTTCTATGTCTATTCCAGCCCTGATTATTATATACATAAATATAATCGCACAACTATTAAAACTAATCCAAAAAATAATAGATAAAACATAATTCCTCAAGAATGAAGACCAAGCAACCTAATACCTCTCTTCTAAAAGAGAGACAAATCGGACTCAGAACATTAGGGGTGAAGGGGGCTCCTTCAGACGGGGGCCAGCTTCAGGCATTGATATTGTGGGTAAATTTAAGGACTCGGGTTGGCAACACTGACATCAAAACATTACGTTACTACTCACACTATTGTAGTTCAGTCTGTAGAACAGTGCAGTAAAGGGTTCATGTTATAAAGTGAAAAGTTAGGTTTTGGTGGTTGAAAGTCAGATTTTTGGATTGAAGTTGAGTTTTTTATAAGAAGATAAGACTTAGGATAATTAACATTGCTACTATTTTTAAGTTTTTTTATTGCTGTATAACCCGTATTATTCATATTTCTTAAGGATGGCACTCTTAGGTTATATTTTTACATTTGGTATGGGGCAATATCAGACAAACGCAATGGAAAATAGACACCTTTTTTGAAATAAAGTGCTTAAAAGTTATATATATATATATAAATATATATATATATATATATATATATATATATGTATATATATATGTATATATGTATATATATATATATATATATATATATATATATATATGTATATATATATATGTATATATATATATATATATATATATATATATATATATATATATATAATATATATATATATATATATACCTGGTGATGAATCGCCAAACGGGCCATAGGAAATTCAATGGGAAATTCTAAATTCCTGCTTCCCTAATTATTTTACATCAAAAGTCATAAGAAAATATTTGTAGGGGACTGAAATATGTATGTTAGGGGACTAAAAATAAATGTTAAAATTCTTCTACAAATTAAATGTATTCCAAAATTTTGTAATTTTGTAAAAATATAATACAGTTTTCAGACCACCCCTTAAACTCAGGCCACACGAGTTACAATAATGTGTATGACTTGTTGCGTTTGGTCATATTAATGATTCTGATATTTGACAATATTTGAATTAACAATATTTTTATTTTGTGATTAAATTATACACAAATACGCAAATTTTTACAAATCCCACTACTACTAGTGTAGTGTTATTTACAAAGCAATAAAATTGATAAAATGTATTCGGTGCATATGAACGGAATTTATTCTTTTTCAAAAATTTTAAGCCCGTAGAATTAAAGCCTGGTCTGCAATGGTCCTAGAACTTATTCTAGGATTTTCTAAAACTGCTGTTAATACATTATTTCATTTTGTTTTTCTAAATTTTTTGGTACCTCAGCAACATTGTTTGTACAGGTATAATAAGAAATCATGGTCCCATTATTTTCAAAATTTTGTAAAATCCTTTGAATTGTTGAAATCTTACGCTAAATAGAGAACTGACAATTCGCGCACTATTGCCTGAATACAACATTTTTATTATTGCTAGTTTCTCCTTAACTGAATACAATATTTTTTAATCAACTATATTGTTCTTTAAACAATAAATCACAAAATTAAAATTTTGGAAATTAAAATATTGTCATATATCAGAAACAGAAATATGAGCAAACTCAACATGTCATACACATTCTTATACCTCGTGTGGCCTGAATTTAAGGGGTGGACTGAAAAATGTATTATATTTTTACCAAATTTTGGAATATATTTTATTAGTAGAACAATTTTAACATTTGTTTTTAATACATATTTCAGTCCTCTACAAATAGTTTTTTATGACTTTTGATGTAAAATAATTAAGGAAGCAGGAATTCAACAATTTAGAATTTCCCATTGAATTTCCTATGGCCCGTTTGACAATTCACCACCCTGTATATATATATATATATATATATATATATATATATATATATATATATATATATATATATATATATATATATATATATTTATTTATTATTAGTTATTTAAAAAGGGTTTCTCTTTGTTGCAGATTGTCCAAAGATGGTAAGAAATAGGAAGAAAGAAAAATCAAAAGGAAATTTTGATGCCGAATCTATGAAAGAATGTGTAGCGGCCATCCTAGATGGTGAATAGGCAAGAAAAACTGCTAAAAGATTTGGATTAAAATATCAAACTGTTGGTATGTACGTTAAGAAGTTTAGGAATAACCCAGATAGCGAATATGATATGAAATTAAGAAACACGATACTAGAAAGGTTTTACTGACAAACAGGAAGACGGCCTTGCGGCATATTTAATTAAGTGTTCAAAAATGTTTTATGGTCTGAACAATCTAGAAACTTAAAAACTAGCACACGAGATGGCCAACATGAGCAATATTGACTGTCCTAAATTTTTGTGAGGTATTCCGACGTTATCAAGACACCTAGTTCTCGATAAAACGGAAAGAGCCCCACCAGAGCTAAATCTTTTTGATACCGTAGGTATCTGTGATAAGTGAACAGAAAAAAAAATTAAAATGACGATAAATCACCCTCAAAGATATACAAAAATACTTTATTATATAGTTATAAAAAATTATATAACATAAATTGCGCTGAGTCTTATTTTCAAATCATATAAAACGTAAAAAAATGAAAAATGTTGAATTGTGGGAGTAAGGCCAATTTGCCTATCTTAAAGGCGCGCGGCGAATACCCTTTTATCTATCCTGAAATCTAAAGATGAAACTTTTAGTGATAATTTTTAGCTAAAACTTTTAGAGAGATAATTATTTATAGGAATATACTTATATTTAATTTTTCTAAAATTACGAAGTTCAGTGAATGCCTTACCTATACTTTCTCCTGGTACATATCCACCTCTATCTAAGGTAACTTTACAAACTACAGCTCCAGATCCAACACAGCTCACTCCAAATTTGTGTTCCACTTCGCATCTAAAGGTTTCCTGACCCGAAATGTTCTAGATTAGAAAATGTATAGAGAACGGAAATTAGCGAGGAGGAAAAGAGTGCAAGGCATGCGTAGAGAGTTTAGAAATGTCCTTAATAAAAGTTTATTAAATATATATACTCAAGAAATTTAGATCTGTTAAATTATCTGGATATCGTTAACGCACAACTTTATTAAACTTACAAATTACAAATTAATTGGGAAATACATCGACGAAATGCTCGAACAAAATGATAGTCTAAATTGTTAAATTCTCAATGGTGACGAAAGTCAAGAGCATTAATTGATCATTTCATTAATTTAACACCAACAACATTAAGTAAAGAATTTAGGTATTCATGGCCGCTGTTTGGTGATTTTTCATTGTTTTCCTTGATAAGGCGCATTTTTAGGTAGGAGATTTCAAAACAAGTTCATCACCTAGCTAGATGAACTTCCCAATAAGAAAACACAACTGTTTGTGCTTTCAATTTGAAATCAAAACTTTTAACCCTACGTTAACCGCGTGGGCTACATACGTAGCCCAGCGCATTTTAAATTGTCGCCGCGGGCGCCAATGTTTGATTGCATTGTCGCTGCTTTGTATAGCTGCCTGTTAGGCATCGATCACGATCATCGTCATCGATAATCAGTACTTGCTGACAGCGTTACCAGACCTAGGGAATTTTCCCTATACCTAGGGAATTTTGAGCCAGCTTAGGGAAAAAGGGATTTTTATTTAATTCTATGAAAAATCTAGGGAATTCTTAATATTTGTAAGAATATTTTAAAAAATCAGTTTTATTTAATAAACTTTCCAAAATTGCACATATTATATCATCTACTTGGAAATCATACTATTGGTTTATGTGATTTCCCGTCGGAAACTAGAGTGGTGAAATTTCACGAAGTGCGAATTACGTCGGGGATCTACCTGGGCTAAAGTATGTATTGGCGTCGCCCATCGGGCGATTTTTGGTTTCTAGTTTGTCTTTCTGTAACTGTTTATGTGATTCTCCGTCGATGACTAGAGTGGTGGTATTTCACAATATGCGAATTACGTCAGGGATCCACCTGGACTAAAATTACGTAATACTTTGATATTCTTACCCTTCTTACCATAAATACAACTATAAAACACTTGTGCAGAAGGAGCAAAAATAATTATATTAAAAACATATGTGTACAACTAGACTAACATGCTGACCGCCAAGAACCTAGAGAACTTTTCTCAAAAGTCAAGTACCTATCTAGCGAGATAATTCAAACCGCAAACATAGATCATCAAAGATAATAGTGGAAATATCATAAAAAACCCAGACGGCCTCGCAGAGGTGTGAGAACAATATTGTGAAATACTATTTTCTAACAACGACCGAGACAATAATACAGAGAAAATAATTTATGAAAAAGAACCTCAAATATTGAAATCATAAATTGAGGTGGCAATTAAAAAGCTAAAATCCAGAAAAGGAGAAGATGGAATAACAGCTGAAACACTCAAACAAATGGGAGAATTAGGGATGGAAGTAATGCTTAGAATTTGCAATGAGATTTGGAATACCGGAAAGTGGACAAATGACTGGGGTAAACTTGCGTTTATTCCCATATATAAAAAAAGGTTTACCGACAGCTGATTGCAGTAATTATCGCACAGTAGCATTGATATCACACGCGAGCAAAGTACTTCTAACCATGATTAATGAAAGACTAAAATTAATTCTCTTACCACAAATTCTCCAAGAACAATGCGGATTCGTCCCAGGTAGAGAAACAAGAGAACATATTCTTAATATTCGTCAAATTATCGAAAAATTTCGAGAGTGCTTTGTTGATTATATTGATATTCCAAAGCCTCCGATACTGTAAAATGTAATAAAATGTGGCATTCACTTAGTGAAATGAGTACTGCAGAACATCTAATCTATTTATTACAAAAACTATAGGTAAATAATACCTGCTAATGTAAAAGTTAATAATGTGATTTCGAAAAACATCAAATTAAAATCTGGAGGTCGACAGGGATGCATAATATGCCCTATTCTATTCAATGTGTATAGTGAAAATATTCATCAAGTTCTTGAGGAAAGTGGCAAGGTAAGGTGAAGCAACGATAGGAGGAAGAAAAATTAAAAACCTGCGCTATGCTGATCACACTGTTATATTGGCGTCATCACCAGAAGAACTGGAACAAATTATGAATAGGCTAAGCAGGGTGAGTACGGAATACAGTTTGAAAATAAATATGCAGAAAAGCAAAGTGATGATCATCGATAGAATCAGAAACAACCCAGCAGAGATAAAAAACATCGCAGGTTACGAAGTAGTCAGGCAATTTAATTACTTAGGCTTCTTTATTACTAACAGTGGAGAATGCGAAGACGAGATCAGTCGACGCATCACAATGGCCAGATCGGCAACAGCTAAACTCACAAAAATTTGGAAGAACACTGGCATCACAAAAATACAAAATTACGCCGTGTTCGAACATTGATATTTGCTATCGCCACCTATGCTTTAAAAACTTGGACAATAACAACAGCCGATTCAAAGCGTATAATGGCCTTTGAAATGTGGATCTACCGTAGAATGTTGCGCATACCATGGACCGCTTATCGCACAAATAACTCAATTCTAGTAGAACTTGACATAAAATTAGACTCATCACAACTATCAACCCAAATATACTGAAATATTTTGGACATATAACTAGAAGAATAGAAGGCATAGAGCAAATGATAGTTGAAGGTAACGTAGCGGGTAAAAGATCCAGAGGAAGATCTCCAGTATGATGGTCGGACCAAATAAAAGAGATGACTGGTTATTCATTCTCCGAAGCAAAACAACACGCACAGAAAAGAGATAATTGGACAAAAATATTTAAAAAAATTACATGACGCCACTATATCCTTACGAAGGAGAAAATATTGAGGAGGATTCTTACCTCACAAATTCACGAACAACAAATAATACCAATCGCACAGACTGAATCTTCATAACCAAAAGTCCTTATTTATTTTACAAACAATTAAAATACCAATATCTCCAACTTCTTATGTGACCAATAAACTCTAATTAGAAATGTTTGGAAAGGTTTTTAAAAATCCCGCTCATTCTGACGTCAGACTTAAGTGGTCCATTCTAGGCTAAATATGGTTGTCAAGTTGTTAGGGAAATCTAGGGAAATTTTGGCAAAAATTCTAGGGAATTAAAAAAAAATCATCTGGCAACCCCTTGCTGAAAGTTTGTTGGATACGCACGATTCAAAGATATTAGTGAATTTTTACGTATTGGCTACAATTGTAGCCCGTGCGCCTAGTCGCGTAAGTATTTTATGTTCAGGTGATTTCTCTATATAATAACCATAAAATTTATGTTTTTACCAAAAATAGGAAAAATAACATTGCAAAAGACAGGAAAAATAATTTTGGTTTTAAAATTTTCAAGAAGCATCTCTACTAAATTGTATGTATTTTTTATTTTAATTTATAATTTTTGATTTTCTATTCGAATCTATCTTTTGCAGAAAATTTGAGTATTATAATGTCCCAAGAAAACAGGAGGTGTATTGAAATATCCACAGGTCCATCTGTTTCAATGCAGTGGTATGACGAACTCGAAAGTGAAGATAGTGAGGCAGTGGATAGTGAAGATGAAATGTAAAACCCTGAAGAAGAAAATATAAAGGGAACCGATCATGATTCTGTATCGAAACAAGAGTATAGTGACATCACAGATGATGAGAGTGACATTGAACAAATAAATAAGTGGTTTGTGGGAAAGGAATTCAGCATTCACCTGGTTCGAAGGGACTTACTAAAAATTCAAAATCAGGTATTGAGTGTTTTAATCTTTTACTTGATGAGTCTATTATACAAACGATTACTACTTGTACTAATATTATATTCAAAATATCAGAGACCGATTTGAACGAGAGCAAGATGCAAGAAACACAGACGAAAGAGAGATAAGGGCATTTATTGCGATTCTTTATATAATCGGTGTATTAAGATCTTCTCGAAAAAACTTACACAAAGTTTGGGACAAATCAAAAGGAAGTGGTGTAGAATTATGTTATTTGGCTATGAGTGGGAAACGTTTTAGATTTCTTTTGAGGTGTCTACGTTTCGACGTTTCATTAGAGACAGAGTTCAAAGAAAAGAAATTGATAAACTGGCTCCTTTTTTTTTATGGCAAGTAGATATTTGACTGTGGATGAGCAACTATTGGCGTTTTGCGGACGTTGCATATTCAAACAATATATATCGAGCAAACCGGCTTCATATGGAATCAAAGTTTTTGCTTTGGTGGATGTTAAAACTGGTTATACATTCAATCTGGAGACATATGTAGGTACTCAACCTGAAGTGCCATATAAATATATAAATTCAGGACAAGAAATTGTTTTTAGAGAAGTAGAACCAGTAGCAAATACTAACCGCAATATAACAGGCGATAACTGGTTCACTAGTGTGAAATTGGTTAAAAAATTACTTAGTGATAAAAAAGCTAACTTATATCGGCACAATAAAAAAATAAAGCAGAATTACCAAAAGAATTTTTGCCAAATAAAAACAACATAATAAACTCTTCCATTTTTGGATTTCAAGAAGATTGCACACTGGTATCATATTGCCCAAAAAAACCGAAGACCGATTAGACGAATTGTGTGAAAAATATAATGTGTCGAGAAACTCGCCGATATCCAATGGTGATCTTTTATGACTTTTTGAATGTAGCAGCAATAAATTCTTTATGTATTTATAAATCTAACCATTTTAACAAAAAGGTTGCATGGTCGGATTTATAGAAGAACTGGCATGGGAATTAATTAAAAATGATGACATCTAAGTGAATTTAGATCTAAGATTCTCCATGTCCCTTTGTAACTTCGTCGGCGCTCCCGTGTTCTGTTAGGCATTACAGATGTGGCAACACCACTCCCTCAGACAAGTCGTAATACAGTAAGACGTTGTATTTTTTGTGATCAAAAACGCGATAGATCAACTCGAAAACAATGTGAAAAATGTA